TTTTTTTTTTTTTTTTTTTTTTTTTGCGTTACCTCACAATATTTTAGCAATAAATTTCCAGGAAGAGGAAAAAAAAAATCCAGCTTCCACGTGTTTGTGGCAGAGTGTCACGTTGATATTTTGTAGTTTCCTTAGGCTCTGGTCTTTTTCCGTTTCGCTCCTCCTAATTTCCAATTTTCCCAGCCAGCGTCTTATTGCTGCCGCCCCGCCCACACACTCACCTGTTCTCGTTCTACCTGCCAGGTGATTAATTTAGGTTCGTGTTTCCCTATGTTATGTGATCAGTTGATCCCTCGGGGTTTCAACAGCCAGTTCGTGGTTTTCATCCTCCGTGAGCATTTCCTTGAGTTTGAGCCTTTTTTTTTTTTAAATAAACCCGATTTCCCCTTTTTTTTCTCTTCCGTGTTTTTCCGCAACGCTGGGATCAAAAGCTCCACTAATTATGGCATTTTGTATTAAAGGTAAACTCGACTTTTTTCAGTCAGTGCTACACGTTCAGTCTTACAGTTTTCTATCCTGGCTTATCACATATAACAATTATTTGCATTACAACTAAAATCCACCCACCTGATCCGTCTCTGTTGATTCTGACATTTCCTCTTTTTTTCTGTATCGGAAGTCGCTTTGGAAGTTAAGGCTACTTCTTGAGATCAGTCCTCTCCATTCTTCCAGATTAAAGCGCAGCCCACAAATGATTCGTGGGTTAGCTGTTTCAACCCTCAACAGGCTGGATCCAAATCACGCACTGCATCACAGCCACTATGGTAAAGAGTCCACAGGAGACATTTGCATTTTGAAATCCTAGTGAGTTTTCACCGCAGGTGCTTTGGGAAGGATCTGAACCTGAAACAGCAGCACGCCCCCTGTCGGCTGACTGCACAACTGCACAACCTCATACAACAAAGCAACTTCAGTTAAATGGATACTGCTGGCTCCAGTTTTATTGCAAAAAGGAGACATGTTTGCTGGTTTTAGGACAAATAAGATTAGCCCTGTGATGGACTTGTGACTTGTCCAGGGTGTACCCTGCCCCTCGCACTGTGACTGCTGGATATGAGCACCAGTGACCCACGCAACCCTGAAAAGGAAGAAGCGTGTACAGAAAATGGATGGATGGATGGAAGATTAGCAAGTTTCAAAACAGGCAGACTATTTTTAATTCAACCTGTCTGTAAAAGTAAGCGTTTTCTGTCATTTTAATGTCAGCTAAGCTAATGCAATTTAATACGTTCATCCATAACTCATTTCTAGTATTTCAGGTGCAGACAGGCACTCATGCAGCAGACTCACTAATTTAAAGCTAAAAGAAAAAACACCCTGCAAATTTTGTTCCGATTTTATAACAGACGGGATAAAAAGTTCCGTCAAGTCCAATGAAAACTGCAAATTTTAGGTTCGTGTTTTAAAATTGTTTTTAAAAAGCCTTCCTATTTTTTTATTTAATGTTAAAAAACAATTTGTAGTGGTCCGTTCTAACCAACATCTCAGCAGGTTTTTCCAAGTGTGCATAAACACAGACTCTAATGTGGTGTTCATATTAAAATATTTATTGTACAAGACATTTAAATATTGAATACTTTAACATTTTAAAATACATCTTATACAGCATTTGTCAAATATATTTTAACAGCATAATGAGCATCAAACTGTAGTAAATAGTACCAGTTACATAGAGATATTTGGAAGTAAATGGGACACTTTTTCACTTTATATTTATTCCCAGCCCTATCTGCCAAATCCCTGTGGGTCATTGGCCTTCTTTGACTTATCTTTCCCGCTCGTTTTGCTGATGTGGTATAAAGTGTTGGCCAGATTGTGAAGCTGACATGTCCCAAGCTGACATCCACGTTGTGATGTTCGTCGTGGGCGTAACTTTGCAGCCAATCTGTCAGTTCGGAAGGAACAAAGGGCATCAAACTTTTGCATTATAAGCATTACATTAAATATAATACATTTTTTATAAACACTGAACAGCTGAGTTATAATTGATGCTGACATTTCTAAGAAAAGGGGTTATGCCATAATACAGTATATAAAGTCTGTTTCTTTAATTGTGAAGTTTTTAGCATTTCAGGTATTTTATCTTCCTATTTACATCCACTTACAGTATGTCTGGAAACGTGTGCCTGTGTTTCAGGTCGTCAGAGTGAAATGGGACGATCTTCACCAGAGGAGCACGTTGCTCCTGCCTGTCCTCTGACCTCCCCTCACTCAGAGCCTGGAGGATGACGTCTGACCTGCAAACACAAGGCTATGGTATTAATGGAAATGCTCAGAGTTTTTCCATAAAGTTTGAGGAGGATGATCCATTTTCATGTGGGTCACCACTATCACTGTAATCGCAAGTGTATTTTTTATTATCTGACCTGTGGCTCAGTCTCAGTGGGTTGGCAGCAGTCAAAGGCACAGTCAGCAGCATCACAAATGCTATCTCCATACCGCACTCACCTGTGGAGACGAACACAAAAATAAGTACACCAAATAAGAAAATCTGATCTGTAAATATTCAAAACAAATGATTTTTAAATGGTTTTAAAAATGGAGGCTGCTTACCAAGAAAAGGTAAAAACCTGCTGTGGCTCATTAAGTCTCGATGGTGGTTTGATGTCCAAGTTTATGTCTCCTGTCCACTTCTGGTCCTTTATAGTGTGAGGGCAGGGTCAGGGGGTGTGTCCCGGATGTTGTTTTAGGTGTCAGGAGCTCGTTAGAYCAGCTCCCACGCTGGTGTCTAATCAGTTACGTTGGCACTTTTCTGCTTTGTTTGCAGAAGCTGTGAAACAAACGTAAACAATCTTTAACATCCGAGCACAGCATTGTACTTACACTTCAAGTGACCTCGTACCTTCACCGATGTTTACATCCATACTTCTGTTTACTCTCTGCTCCAGCAATACATACAACACCACCACCACCATCCCACTCCTCCCTCCCTTCACATGCTGCTGAGCAATTGTTCCAGAAATCCTTCGTTCATTCATTTCCATCACCTGCAGGAAGCCCCGCTAAGCCCAGAATAACCTTTCGATTCTCCTCCGGGGGTTTTCTTTATCGCCTTATTTTTCCTGTTGGCCTTTTTCCCCTTGAGTCACCATGTTTATTCTTGAAATGTCCTTCACTCACATCCACCTTCCCCTTCAAACTTCAGACACAAACAGCTCCTTGATGTTGCAGCTGCCCCAAACTGAGACTTTTATCAAACTGGGAGCTCCAGAATAGTTGAAAGCTTGATAGATTCATTAAAAATGTTTTCACTGTTGCCAAACAATGAGAACTGTTTAGGAAATTCTCCCAGAAGTGTAAAAACAGGGACAACCTACGAAGGCCTTTATTTATATGTATTAAGGATGTGTTACTATTACATTTAGGGGTGGGTGAAAATATTGATTCATCAATGCATTCCATTTTTTTTCTATTCAATTTCAGTTCAGAAAATTACCTGGATTAATTCAATCTTCTGGCCAGTTTGTTTTTATAATTGAACACCATATTTTCTCAATATAAAATACATTTTTTTAAAAGTGTTAATGTAAAACATTTCTGTTTTATGGGCAAGAAAATAAATATATAAAGATTATCCACAGGGACTCTTAATTATTTTTGTACTTCCTTTTATCATGAAATTGATATCAAAACATAAAACTCTATATCAAATGGGAGTTAAATTTAATTTTGAAACAAAGAATTTAAATAATATTGAACTGTGAGGTTAACAATACCCAGCCCTAATTATGTTAAAACTCTTTGTCCAATATTTTTCTAATAAAACATGCAAATTATACATCAAAACGTAGAGCTTCATCTGAAATAGTGTGCAGTATTTTTTTTTTGTACAACATAGATGAAACTTGCAAAAAATAAATAAATAAATAAGGTGATCATTTGAATGGTGGCCCTGTTGTGGCTCATATGTGATTTGCCAGAGGTGGTCCTTGTATGGACCAGCAACATGTAGACCAAATCAAAACTGGGCCAGTTATGGCATTCCTTCTTAAAACAGTGCCATCGTTGTCAGACCTGGCCCACATTCAGTTGACAAACTTTGCGGTGCCAGTAGTACCAGCTTGACACCAAACCTGGTCCACATCTGCGCTTTACTTGTCCTAACCATGGTGACCTTAATGAGCAGGTTGAACTTTTTTAATCTTGGTTGTCTTTACTCTTAAACATCAAAATGCAAGTATTTTTGCTTAGTTTAGGACAGGGATAGACAATCCTGGTCCTCGAGTGCCGCTGTCCTGCATATTTTACATGTTTCTCTGCTCCAACACACCTGATCTGAATGAACGGTGATTAAAAGACTTCTGCAGAACTTGGAAGAGGTAATTAAATTTCTGAATCAGGTGTGTTGGAGCAGGCAGGGAATCGAGTAAAACATGCGGGACAGCAGCACTTGAGGGCCAGGATTGCCTGCCCCTGGTTTAGAATATAACATACTAATGTTGGGCAGAAGCTGCATCGGCAACCTTCAAAATGTTTACAAAAATGTTTTAATTTCCGTATATCATCCCCATTTTATTCACAGATTTGCTCAGACTTACACACCACCACACCTGAATGCTTTAGGGCTCTTTTCCTGTGACTATTGTCTCGGTAGTTTCTCATTTCTGACTAATGTCCTGAGTCATCATGGTCACACGTGCACAAAAGAGCATAAGCAGCACTCAAATAAATCAGTGTTCGCCTCTGAATAATGGTGGATTACACGATGCAGCAGTGCCTGGATAACACGTGGTGATGTGAGGGATCGTGCGCTCACCAGGAAGCAAAGCAAACCCAGTTTCCACCTGCTGCAGTTTAGCTCTCAGGAAATAAGTCAGCAAAACATTTTAAACTCTAACCACTGCATGTCACTGTAGAGCAGTGGTTCCCAAAGTTGGGGTCGGGACCCACAGTGGGGTCCTGAAAATATTTTCTGAATTAATTACACTAATAAAATGACAATTAATCACATTTTTTTGTTACAAAATAATATGAGTGTACTTAAAATGGAAAAAAATAATGTTATAAATAATGTTCCGATGCTCTTGTTTATTTGACTTGAAAACAACGTTTATCAATTGACAACAGCTGGGGACACAGATCTCTGCTGCAGGTATTTTGTGGGTCAAAAGCTGAAAAGATTGGGAACCACTGCTGTAGAGCACAATGGTTGGATAAAACCCAAACATACCTGGTGTATATTTTATATGTGATACAGCGATTAAAATAAGTATTGAACACGTCACCATTTTTCTCAGTAAATATATTAATAGAGGTGCTAATRACATGAAATTTTCACCAGATGTCGGTAACAACCCAAGTGATCCATACATACAAAGAAATCAAACCATAAATGTCCAGAAATGAAGTTATTTGTAATAATGTGGAATGGCACAGGGAAAAAGTATTGAACACATGAAGAAAGGGAGGTGTAAAAAGGCATGGAAAGCCAAGACACCAGCTGAACTCTCTCAGTAATTAGAAAGCAAGCCTGCCCCTTGTCAGTGCAAGTTAATATCAGCTGGTTCAGTCCCAAAAGATGACCAGGTATCACACAAGAACCATCTGATGATGGGTAAAAGTAAAGAGCTCTCTCAAAACCTTCACAACCTTATTGTTGCAAAGCATAATGATGGCATCGGTTACAGAAGAATGTCTAAACTTCTGAAGGTTCCAGTGAGCACTGTTGGGGCCATAATTCAGAAGTGGAAAGAACATTATTTCACCATAAACCAACCACGACCAGGTGCTCCTCGCAAGATTTCTGACAGAGGAGTGAAAAGAATTATCAGAAGAGTTGTCCAAGAGCCAAGGACCACTTGTGGAGAGCTTCAGAMAGACCTGGAATTAGCAGGTACGTTTGTTTCAAAGAAAACAATAAGTAATGCACTGAACCACCATGGCCTGTATGCACGCTCACCACGCAAGACTCCACTGCTGAAGAAACAGCATGTTGAAGCTCCTTTAAAGTTTGCTGCACAACATTTAAACAAGACTGTGTAATACTGGGAGAATATAGTCTGGTCAGATGAGACCAACATTGAACTGTTTGGATGCCAGAATACACATCATGTTTGGAGGTCAAATGGCACTGCACATCAGCCCAAAAACACCATACCAACAGTGAAGTTTGGAGGTGGGAACATCATGGTGTGGGGCTGTTTTTCAGCATATGGTACTGRCAAACTTCAAATAATTGAAGGAAGGATGAATGGAAAAATGTACAGAGACATTCTTGATAAAAATCTGCTTCCATCTACCAGGATGATGAAGATGAAACGTGGCTGGACATTTCAGCAAGACAATGAGCCCAAACACAAAGCCAAGGAAACTCTCAGCTGGTTTCAGAGAAAGAAACTAAAGCTGCTGGAATGGCCCAGCCAATCACCTGACCTGAATCCAACAGAAAATCTATGGAAAGAACTAAAGATCAGAGTTCATAGAAGAGGTCCACGAAACCTTCAAGATTTGAAGACTGTTTGTGTGGAAGAATGGGCCAAAATCACACCTGAGCAATGCATGCCACTAGTTTCTCCATACAGGAGGCGTCTTGAAGCTGTCATTGACAACAAAGGCTTTTGTACAAAGTATTAGATAAATTTCAGTAAGTGTGTTCAATACTTTTTCCCTGTGCCATTCYACATTATTACAAATAACTTCATTTCTGGACATTTATGGTTTGATTTCTTTGTATGTATGGATCACTTGGGTTGTTACCAACATCTAATGAAAATTTCATGTCATTAGCACCTCTAGTAATATATTTACTGAGAATAATGGTGACACGTTCAATACTTATTTTACCCGCTGTATGTGATAGTTGAGATATTTCAAAGTGGGGTTGTATGGAAAATTTGTGTACAAATAGTATCCTGCTTGTTGTAGACAGCCATTTGATCGTCTTAGTTTAAGGAAACAGTTTTATTCTGGTTGCATTGACAAGCTAATAAATGGAAATAAATCTAAAGTGAATCAATTAAATAACTTCTGTCTCAAATGTTTTATAGTGATTCGTACGAGCCATGACATCACCATTACATTACACGACTCCTTCCAAATAATTTTATGGTAGCCCACACTAAGAAAAAGTAAAAGCAGCAGCTAGCTGTAGCACTTCTGGTGTAGCCTGAGTCACGACCAGCTCAAATATCAGGTTTCCTCTGGAATAATGTATGTAAACAAAACTTACAGCAGTGAATTGTTTTTATAGCTTGAGTCACTATGAAACATTCAACATTGGAGTTTTTATTCAGCCGAAAGCCATTTTGATTGTGGCTCCTCTTAGATAAACCATTAACTCATCATTATAATCAGAAATAATATTTTATTTTTTCAAACTGAAATCATTCTGAGAGCGATCTACAGCAGGTAARACATTACTTGGTCATAACCTTTTCACAGAGCCGCACTTCATATTATCTGCACTATCCTTTTAAAATGTTGTARCTGCCTACAGCTGTGGTTTAATCTGATCATGATGTCTCAACGATCTGTTTGCCTATATTATGTTACAGAAATGATCAAACATTGAAGTCAATTAAAATATTAAAAAAATACACAAAATTGTTGTTTAAATTAAAAGTGGAAGTAAATTCACAGTTTTGCGTCGTTATTCTGGAGCTTATTGACGTCTTTATTCTGAGGTCAGCTGATTTAAAGTAGAAGTTTTGTGTTCCAGTCCGGTACTGTAAGTTCACAGTTATCACAAAGGTTGTAGCTTTAACCTGCTATCCAATTCATCTTCCACGATGGCACTTTGTGAGGACTTCTCTGACTTTTCTCCCACTGTCTGTGACGTATGAGCATCCTGTTGTTTTAAGCTTCCAGCTACCAGCTGTCCCCTCTAGCCCCCCACCCAGACTCATTTCCTCCACACACTGGGCATGGGAGAGAGTATCCTGCCAGGAAGGCTTGTCTTTTACTCGCACATTATCCTTTAATCAGTTTCTTTGGAGGAAACACTTGTCACAAGCATGTGAACTGTTCTGTAAACTTCCATGAGACTCAGAGTAAGAAGAAGGTTAACAGTGCTTTAAGGACGGGGTGGTTATTTTATCTCGTTTTATTATTATGGGATTATATAAAGTAAGATTTTGGCCCTTTTTTAAAATTTGCTCCAATTTTTAAAGTTAATAAAATCTGTAGAAAAATCTTCAAATTTACTGTAAATTGAAATACTTCCTGATATTAACTCTTCAACTGGCATAAAAATGTGTAAATAATCATCTTACTCGGCCATGAGATTACTGCCATCTTGTGGAAACAGAAGCAAACATTGGTAAGAATAAATGTCTAGTATTCCTTGAAGCAGGGGTACCCAAACATTTTCCCTGAGAGGGCCAAAATGAAAATAGATCCAGGACTGCGGGCCAAATGCAATAATATAATACATGAAATACAAATACTTTTTAAAGTAAAGTCCTTTATTTTTAACGATTATGCTATGCAATGGGCCTCTTTTGTTTTAGTCTGCACTTGGAGAAAGTCTGCTCAAGTAGCAAAGGCTCATGGAACATTTCATAAATTAATAAAATGTGAATTTTTGTGGCCTTGTAAAGTGTACACATCTACATGTGTGGTTAAATCTGATCTGAGTATTTCTTGTCATTTCATGTTTCATGTTTAATCCTAATAAATCAAAGATAAAGTCAGCACCATACCTTAAATGAAAACTATCTTCACCACAGCCCTTTTATATAGTCATTTGATCAATGGAAATACTGTGTTTCTGCATAGGATAACAGGTTACAACCTTGTAACTTTGGCAACTGTTGGTGGGCCAAATCAAATGGCTTGGTGGGCCAAATTTGGCCCGCGGGCCCCACTTTGGGCTCCTCTGCCTTGAAGGAATGCACATCCCACGTCRYTTCTTATGCCTCAGGTTTAAACTGAGTCGTAGCTGTTTCAGTCAAACCTTAAAAATACTGTTATGCACAATCACATTCAACACTTTGAAATGTCATGCTCAATTATTCCCCCCCCCCCCCCACACACACACACACACCGAAAGTTTTAATAAAATCCATGCAGTGATTAACGAGATATTTTGCTAACAGGCAAACAAAATCGACTCCAAACAGTTAATAGTAACAGTTTAAACAAAACTCTTGTGCTATCTGTTAGTGCTTATTATACGTGTCGGGGAAGACTTTCAGACACTATTGCGCTAAATTTTAGGTCAATATCTGTAAGTTTCTCTAAGTTAAAGACATTGTTTTTATAAGGCCAATTGGCTGYAGAGGGCATCCAGTGATTACTTTGTGAAAGTTTCATTACAATTTGCTCACAGGCAAAAACATAGTCATCCGCCTTCATTTTTCAGTTAGCAGCAAAAAAAAAAAAAAATCTTAAGTGACGCAGCAGATGCATTTTACTGCAATGTTTTTCAAGTACAGCTTGTCCATCATTAGCACCAGCATGGTTATGTAACAACTCGGAGGAACTGGGTAAAAACAAAAAAAGTAAAGACTCAAATTTTATTGGTTGTCTTAACATCTCCTGATTTATTAACAGATTTTAGTCAAATTTCTGGTAAAGCTGGACAGAAAGCAGCACTTKTGCAAACTGAGTATAGTAAACCTTGGAGAGGTTGAAAGGTCGTCGCAGGCAGATATAATCTTAGAGTCCATTAGTGGATTATAACCATGAACGCCTGCTGGCTCCTGCATCTCTTTTGGATTAAAGAGAGAGAGAGCGAAATACAGGCTGGCATGACGGTGAYCAGAAAGCAATTGAATTGAAACAAAATTAAGTGCAGGACTCAACGCGGTGCACATACGTGGAAAAGGACTTGGCAGCGGGCAGAATTGAAATCAGAGGAGTCAGAACACTAAACTGTAAGATTTAAGGTAATTTTATTCACCTACAGTTTAACAGCTGACTGGTAGTGATCCGCTCAAGGTAAGTGCACACAAACATTGTAATGTAAAATCTTTCTGAATATACTTTTATGTGTGCATTATAATTATCTGTATATTCTCACACATAATTAAGAACAAAGAAGCACTTCTCATTTATTGTATTTATTTCACTTTTTTTATTCAACAGCAATACAAATAAATCTTAAGTGTTGCAGTGTTTTTAGCATTCATTCAATAATTCATTCTCATTATTTTTGTGCAAATTAAATTGAGTTATTGTCTGAATAATTTGTGTGTGTGTGTGTGCAGGAAGCATGGACGTGAACATTGAGGGGATTATCCAATGCATCAAGCAGGGGGATGAGAATGGTGTTCATGTGCAGCTGCAACAGTTCAACAAAGAGGTAAGTCGACAACAAAACCTCACGTGGTTCTGTACACAGTTCACTTCGGCAGATGACCTCATCGTTTGCCCTTTTCCAGTACGCRCAGTGTTTCTTCTTTGATGCGGAGGAGAGGGAACGGCGGAGGGTGAGTTCCTGCTGCACCCAGAGAAAGTTAGTCTTCAATCACCCCACCCCAGCCACTCGTCCCCACCCCCACCCCCACTGTGATTAGTGTTTCTGCTGCATCAGTTGTCCCTGATCCTCTCTCCRTGTTGAGTTCAGACAGAGGGAGAGAAACTGCACTCTTTATCGTTTAAAGGGATAGTTCGGGTCTTTGAAGTGAGCTTCTGTGGAAAGGTTATGAACAATAAAATAACCTCTTGTAAATAGCACTTTCAATAACCTCTGTTAATTATGACCTGTGGGGCTAGGACCACAATAATTTGCTGTTAACTCAAAATAAATCTAACCCTTCATTTGAACTCTAATATTTGTATATTGGTCAGATTTGCATGACAGATAGTGGCAGCATAGACGGCTTATTTTGTCATTAAAAGGGGGGCAAACATAGGAAAGGAAAATCTAAACATTTGTATTAAAGACATCAGAGTAATAGTCTATTTAATGTAATACAACTGATTGATGTAATGGAAAATAGAAATCCTGTGCTGATTTTACCTTTTATTTATTTTGTTATTAAACAAACTTTGGCTAAATGCTGATTCAAAACCAGAACATTTGCAAAGCTTTCCCATTTAGGACACATTTAGTCCAATATTAGTTCAGACACCTGTTCACTTCAAGTCAAACCTGGTGTATTTCCAGCTGGGATATCCTGATAATTCTGCAAGAATAATCTTGTAATTCACAATGGACAACAGTTTAATAGTTTATTTTAAAAAAGCATTCACGTTATGTTTTTAAATTATGAGATTGAAGTTATTTTAAGACACAAATTCACTTTGGTTTTGGCCCCTGCTGATAGCTCATCAGTTTGATCAGAATTGAACTCCATTTCTTCAAAGTGGGGTTGTTCAATCAGCTCTCTACAACAGGTGAGATATTAATTGTTCACTTGTCATTTGGCTTGTATGTTCGCTTCTATTATCACAAATCTGATCAGCAGCTTTCTGGTTAGACTTTTAGAGGAATCTCTGTGCTTTTGTTGGAACTGTACATGCTTTGTCGGCTGACATTTTAGTCTTTTTTTTGTCACCTGACCCACTGAATATGGATGGTCCAATCCCTGCAGCAAAGAAAACTGGAGAAGGTAAGATGCTGCCAGGGTTCAGACGCTGAACAGCAGTGTGTTAGCTACACATAAAAACTGCCAAAACTGATCCAAAAAGAAAACGTAATGTGAAATTTTTAATTGATTTCTTCATTTCATTGTTGTATCAGTTCAAGGAGAATAAAGTGAGGGATCTTGCTGATTCTGACTCTGACAATGAGGACTTCAAACAGGAAGATCGAGGCCTCATCCTCAGACAGGTTAGATGCTGTCACTCTTTGAATATAAATTTAAGATCCTTGGRATTTTTAAAGGTTCGTCACTGCTTKTTTATTTGTTCCTGTCCCTTTCTGCAGAATTTAGCTGTTGTTCTTGCGAGGTTCATAAAAGCAGGAGTCAAAGTTCCCCTGCTGAGAGTCTCTCTGCGCTCCCTGAGGATCCTGACCAGAGACAAAAAGATCCTGGGCCACTTGGTGACTGACGGCACTCTCCTGACGTTGGCCAAACTAGCGGGGCTGACCACCAGCAGTGATGCCAGCGACGAATTCAACGACCCAGACTCTGATTTCTACGATAACGTCATCGCTTCCCTCGCAGAGGCCAAAGTGCTGCAGCGTCCCAGGGAAGAGGACGAGGGTGGAGCCGACGCTGTTGAACAGAACGAGGAGYGTCCTCTCATTGACGAGGACTCAAAAAGCGACACCAGCACCGTCAACAGCGAAGATCCGGACAGCAACAGCTGTCTCGGCTCGAGCCACAGGACCAGCATCAATGAGATGCACAGAGGCGGGAGCCATCAGAAGGTGCTGGAGCGAGGGAGGAAAGACCGCAGGGAGAGCAAGATGGACGGCGAGGAAGAAGAGGATGGGGAAGGGGAGCTRGGAGAGGAGACAGTGAGGAAAGAGGCCTTGAAGGTTCTGTGTAATGTGGTGTACAACAGCACCTGGGCACAGGAGAGGTTCAGCTCACTCAGGTGGGGCAACTCACAAAACGCACACAAACGTACAATCTCACAAATTCACGCAGACACACTGAACTGAACAGAGAGAAAGACACATGCCAACGTATTTCCAGTCATTCAACCCTGTAATATTTCTTCTGTCAGGCTTCTGAGTGGTCTCATCCAGCGTCTGTCCTCCGGTGTCAGCTGGTCGCCTCCTTCCAGTGTTCAGTTCTACGAGCTTCGCCTCATGTTCCTCGTCACCGCTCTGCGGCCGGAGCTCAGCGTTCAGCTTCGGCAGGTAGCCTATCTGTGGGAATGTGTTTCAGACAGGGCTTGCTGCGAGAATGGGTGAATTTATGACCCTGAACACATGTAAAAATAATGTGCATTAAGGGGTGCTGCAGCACCCTCCACACCCCAACTTCCCAGAGCCATAACTGGTAGCCATTATGTGAGCTCTGTTGTCACTGAGTATTTCTTCCTTTGCCCTCCAGGAGGGAGGGGTGCCCATCCTCACCGCCGCCTTGGAGAGGTGCCTGGAGGTCCAGTGGAAGGAGCAGTATGAGTGTGTGCTGGACCCCGCGGCTCCCCCCATCTCTCCGGAGGCCTCTCAACGTATCACAGAGATCCTCAAAATCCTCTTCACTATCACCTACAGCAGCCACAAGCAGGAGCCAAGTGAGGTACGTCAGGGTGAGAATGTGATCAACTCCTCAGGCTTTCAGAACTTTATAGAAAATCAAAATCTTTACTTCCTGTGTGTCACTGTTCACGTCCAGAAAACTGGAGGAATGAGTCATGACATTATGGCAAGCCATTTTAGCATAAAATCAGATTCACAACACTTCCATCCCAGATATCTGAAATTGAATTATGACTAGTCATATTTGTTATTTAAGATATCTCTAATTACATTTTGACTAGTATAAATGACGTCAGATTTACCTTTTGAAGTCTATGGAGGCTTCAATTCAAGATATCTTAAAAGGAATTTTGACTTAGCAAAATACAATTATAGATATCTCTTAGTTAGTTTTTACTAGTCACTAGTTGCTTTCAAAATATCTCACTTGTAGTTCTGGCTAGTCATAATTCCAATTAAAGATATCTTAGATGACATCATTATTTAAGATATCTTAAATGTAATTTTAGACATCACAAATAAAAATCTGACTAGTTAAAATTCAATTACAGATACCTTGAAAGCAAATAATGACTAGTCAAAACTAARTTAGAGAYATCTRGATCTGTAATTTTGACTRTTMAAAATTCCTTTTAAGATATCTTGAATTGGAATTATGACYAGTCAGAATGTTAATACAGATATCTTAMATAAGCTTCCGAATAGTCARAATGTAGTTATTCCTAGTCAAAACTCATTTKTAGATATYTAGAATGTRATTACAGATTGTCAGAYGAAASCGATTATATGCTAAAATGGCTTRCCTTWGAGATKTGGGTTTTCTCTGTCTGTAGGATGATGCAGCTCTKTACAGACACCTGGTGGCGATTCTTCGTCTCTGCCTGATGAGGACATGCATGCTCCCAGAGGATACTGACGAGCTACAAGGGTGAACTGAACTGTCTATTACTATTTCCAATAAAATCCTATAGTTCTTGTTTGTTTTTTTATGTTTACAACATGCACAACAAAGGTACAAGCCAAGATTGATCAAAAAAAAAAAAGCAACCCCTATGGAGTTTTTATTCATTCAAATACAGCATGCACCAAACACTAACTGTGCGTGTCTGAACCCTGCAGTCACACAGTCAACCTGCTGTCAGCGCTGCCTCTCCAGTGTCTCGATGTGCTGCTGGTCGTCTCTCTGCAGCCAGACTCCAAACAGAGTCTGGGAGTCAACATGGACTGTGTGCACATGCTGCTGACGTTCATGGAGAGGCGCCTGGAGTTGGTGGGGGAGAAATCTGTTTTATGACTTATCTTCCTTTTTTAAAAAAAAAAGAAAAAAGAAAACACTTTCTTTATTCTAAGAGAGAGCCTCAACATTTAAAGGATACAATTTTATGTCTTTGTCCTTTTCAGGGAGAAAGAATCAAAGAGAAACTGACGCCGATCCTGAATCTGCTGACGGAGAGCTGCAGGGCTCACAGGGAAACACGCCTGTACATTAGGAAACATGTAAAGTTACCTCAAAATACTCACTTTTTAATTTATATACACGCTGCAGGATATGAACTGTGACAGCAGGTGGCACTTGTAACATCTAAGCCAGGGGTGCCCAAACATTTTCCCTGAAAGGGCCAAAATGAAAACTGATCTGATGGCTGTGGGCCGAATGCAACAATATAATACATGAAATGCAAATGCTTCTTAAGTAAAGTTGTTTTATTTTTTATTATTAAGCTAGCAGCCAGTGCTGTGTCCCACATTTTTTATTTTTTGTTAGCCAATGGATGTGCAGAAAATTTGATGCACACTCGAGCAGCAAAGGCTCATGGGACGTTTCATAAATTAAAATTTGTATTTGTGGGCTTATAAAGTGTGCAAATCTAGATGTGTGCTTAACTCTAATCTAAATGTCTCTTGAAGTGAATTTTATGTTTAATTTTAATATAATTCAAAGATAACGTACGTGCCATAAATTAAAACAGCCTTTCATAATTGAACTAACGGTTGGAATGACTAAGTGGAAATATAATGTTTCTACATAGAACAGGAGAATACAACCTAGTAGCCAAAAGAACTCCTGGTGGGCCAAATCAAATGGCTTGGCGGGCCAATTTTGGCCTGCGGGCCCCACTTTGGGCATCTGTGATCTWAGCAAAGAAGGTCCATGAGAAGCACCTCTTTTGTTATCTGGCATAATAAATGTCCTTATTTCTTAAGCTTTTTAGCTCTTTGATTTCTAATATTTACATTGTGTGAGTAGTTTGTGTTATATTTTTCTCAGTTGTTTTACTTTTGAGGGTTTTCTTGGTATTTTTTAAATCGACATCACCGAAAGTCAGAAAGTATGTCTCTGATTAGATCCTTCCTCCTCTGAGAGATGTCTCACAAAGACCAGAGGAAGGCACCACAGTGAAGAGCCGCCTGGTTCGTCTCATGACTCATTTGGACACAGACCTCAAACACTGCGCCGCTGACCTCCTCTTTGTCCTCTGCAAGGAAAATGGTAAACTTCATTATTCCTCTGCATCAAAGCAGATAAAACAAATCCATTCTGACTCGTAGGGTATGCACATCCCCTTGGTTCACCTTCACTTCTTCCCTTCCCAGTGAGGCGTTTTGTCAAATACACAGGCTACGGTAACGCAGCAGGCCTGCTGGCCACCCGGGGCCTCCTGGGAGGTCAGAGGGCCAGGAACTCCAGCTCTGAGGCCCAGTACTCCAGCGACTCGGATTCGGACACAGAGGAGTACCGGCAGGTGAAAGACCGCATCAACCCTGTGACGGGGCGGGTGGAGGCCGAGCAGCCGGACCCCATGGAGGGCATGACAGAGGAGGAGAAGGAGGAGGAGGCAAAGAGGCTCATCATGCTCTTCAACAAGCTGTCCAGGTCAGCAAAAAAAAAAAAAAAAAAAAAAAAAAGAGAGAGAGAGAGAAAATTGGCTCAAGAAAAAAATGACCTTAACAAAAAATCCTCAAGATCAAACAGTCATTATTGATGCATAAAAAGATTGCTCATATAAATATGTTCTCACTAAAATTAAAATAGTTTACTCTTATAATTAAAGCTATTCATTGTTACAGGTATGAAATCAAACAGTTTAGTTCAGTTTGAACGAGTTTTCTCCCGTAGCTTTTCAGATATAGTGATACACAGTTTTAAAATGCAGGTATGCACTGCTGAATCTGTATTGAAAAAAAAAATAAACATGTGGAAGCTTGAGTCACATGATTAGGATTAGGCTGACTGTAGTCTGATTAGGTAAACAAATGCAGAACCAGACACAAATAGAATTTCAACTCATAAAAAGATAAAGATCAGCAGGTAAACATGTGCAGCTTCTGCAAAACTATTTCCAGGCCTTTCAGTTCACTGACCTACTTTCAGACACTTCTGTTCTTGTAGTAGTAGTAGTAGTAGTAGTAGTAGTAGTAGTAGTAGTAAGTAGGCTAGTCAGAAATTTTTACCTAGACACATTTATTGTTGATCAAAAAAAAAAAAAAAGAAACTGTGCATATACTGTTTTTAATTTTGTGGGGAAAAAAGTCAGGTCTTTATGACTTTGCCATGAGTACTCTTAACGACTAAAATAAAAATGCTGCATGACTAATATCCCTGTTTCTTTTCTTTTTCAAAACAATAAATAACATGATTTACATGTTTACAGTTATGTAAATAAAAAAAACATACAAAATAAGAAAAAGCTAAGTGTCAGAGAAAACCTGTGAGGGCAAATACAAAAGCCACATAGCAGGATGATAAATACATTTGGGAAGGTTATGAAGACGGAGGACTGGAAAAGCATATATTAATAAATATTAAGAGATCTGTCTATAACTTCATTTTTTTCAAATAGTTTTAATTTCTGTTTCGTTTTTAAAGTTTGACAATCTATTTGTAAAAAAGCTTAWAGCCAGTAATAAATTATGTAATGTTTGATTTTCCGTTTAACCACTTTACCTTACATGACCTGCCTGTTATTATTAGGTGCTGAATTAAAAGAAAAGCCCAGTTGTCAGCTGATGTTCATGTCTCTTTCCACTTGTTTTCTGCAGAGATAACATCATCCAGCCGATGGGGGTGGATGAAGAAGGGAAACTTGTCCCAATGAAGGGTCTGGAGGAAAATCCCCTCGCTGAGGAGACCAAGTCTGAGTTGGAGGATGAAGCAGAGTCAGACAAAGAAGACAAGGACTGAAACATGTTGAAATCATTATTTCACTTTATTGTTTTTGTTTTGTAAACACTGGATTTGTCAGAGCATGCCATAAAAACTATAAAACGTGACAATTCTCATTCAAACATAACCATTCTGACAGGAACTAAACGTTTAAAAGGACATAAAATAACTTTAAATTCCTTTAAACAAAAAGGCATGTACAGCAGCTTTATCTTCGGTTTGAGTTAAGAATGAAATTGTTTTAGTTCCTGATAAGGACTCAATTTATCAAAACTGTTTCAATAAAGTCTCAAATCTCTGTCAGCAAAAAATGCTGCTGTAAAATGATACTGTCCTCTTTATTTCTATATACAAAAACCTTAAAGAACAATGTGAAACAAAGGACAAATTTCAATTATGTGTACCTATGGGATTTTGTTAAGCACCAGCAATCCCAGCAGCATTTTCAGTACACGTTATTGATCTGAGATGATCTGTTTGTAAAATCAAGACTTACAATCTTCACAGAACTACGGAACACAAACAGGGTAAACAAAGACATTCTGCAGGTAAACACATCAACACTGCTCCATCATTTCTTCAAGTGACACCTGCAGTTCCACAGACTGCAGAGAGGAGGCGCCACCTTCAACAGCTATGTTCTTCAGTGACTCTGCTGCTGTTAAGGTCACCTGAGAAAGAAAAACAAAAGGAGGGGGCAATCAAATGATGAAGATGAAAACAAGTCAGTATAAAACGTGAGAATCAGTGCTCATTGTTTCTTGTAAACTGAAAACCAAACTGGCATACCTCAACTGAGAGGAGTTTCTTCTCCAGCGGTCTGTTCTCTGGGTCAGGCCACTTCTCCCCGAGACAGAAGAACAGGGAGCAGGGAGGACACTCACCTCCGTTACTGAAATCAATAATCCCTAGAAGAAAACAGCCACTTTAAAGTGCTGACATCCAACACATTGTACATGCCTTCTGTTTGCTGTTATAATCCTACAGCTGTTCCTTTTACACACCTTTGATAAAGTCCCTGAGCAGGAAAAGTGGTTCTGGCTGCAGTTTAGAAATCTCTCTCGGCCGTCTGCTGCCATCAAACTTAGAGAGGCTCCAGAAGGCTTTGGTTTCGCCGCACCGCTGGCCGTACACCACGTAACCTGAGACCCGCAGCTCCAGCCCGTTGCCCAGCATTTCCAGAATCCTTTCGGTCAGCCTAGATTGGGTTTGATCCAGAATGTCTTTAGGTTGTGGCAGAGAGACCAGGGAAAGGCCCGTCCCAGGATCCATAACTGGATGGTTGAGTTCAGGCCTAATGAAAGAAAAGACATTTTGGATCTTATTTTCACAAATCGATCCTCCATATATGGCATATCTGGAGTTATAAATACTTCAATCTCGGATCATTCACTTATTCATGTCATTA